CTTCTTCTAGAAGGACAGTTTGGGGCTGGGAAGACCCCTCTTGTTTCAGGTCTGTGGGTAGAGCATTCTGGTATTTTCAGCTGATTCCTGATTTCAGCTGATTTAGTAGGTATTATGATTTAGACATTAGTCCCCTGAAAGCTTATGTGTGAGAAATGCAAGAAAGTTTAGAGGTGAAATGATTGGGTTATGAAAGCCTTAACCTAATCAGGGAATTAATCCCCTGATAAGAATTAACTGGGTATTAACTATAGGCAAATAGGGTGTGGCTGGAGGGGGCGGGCCATTGTTCAAAAAGTGACAAAATGCTTTGGGGGAGTATATTTTGTCCTTGATGAGAGAAGTCCTTCTCTACTTCCTAATCCCTGTCCTTAGCTGCTTTCCTCTGCCACACCCTTCTGCCATGATGTTCTGCCTCACCTCTGGCCTAGAACAATGCAGGTAACTATCCAAAGACTGAGACCTCTGAAACTGTGAATGACAAATAAACTCTTCCTTCTCTAAAATTGTTCTTGTCAGGTCTTCTGGTTACAGTAATGAGAAAGCTGATTCAAACAGAAGAGATTCAGGCATGTATAAGTGTTGTTAATGTTGCTTAAATACAGTGTGAAGTATGTAACAGGCAGTATTGATGTTCTAATAAATTCCTGGATTGGAGGGAGAATTTCAATTCAGAAAATCATGGAAGACTTCATGGAGGCGAGATCAATCCTAAGGGACCTTGATCGCTTTCAGTCTTTAAACCTGGCATGACTGGAAAGGGCATCTGGCAGATTTCCATCTTGAGAGAGCAGATTCTTCCTTGCAGGTGCAAGCAACAGTTCCCTGCTCAATGTAATGAGGTCAACAAATGAGATCTATGAAAAATTGGAGCTTCTCATTCCAAACTGCAAGCCGGTCTTCTCTTATAAAGTTTTTCCTACTATATTATGGATTATCTGGGACTTGAAACAAGTTTAGTCTGGCTTCATTTTGAAGAATATTTGATAACTAACTAGTAGTTTTAGAACAGATATAGACTTGCTTGTGTTGTAATTACTTTCTGAGTATATTATTTTGTAAGAAAAAAGTACATTAATTTAGTTCCAAAAGTGATAAAATATATATAGTGAACAGGGTTTATTTATTTATTTAAAAAATTTTTAAAAACTTTAATTTGTTATATGTGACAACAGAATGCATTACAATTCATATTACACATGTACAGCACAATTTTTTCATATCTCTGGTTGTACACAAAATCGAGTCATATCCTCTGTGTCTTCATACATACATGTACTTAGGGTAATGATGACCATCACATTCCACAGTCTTTCCTACTCCTACACCCCCTTCCTTATCCTCCCTCCCCTTTTCCCCTTTGCCCTATCTAGGGTTCATTTAATCCTCCCATTCCCCCCCCACCCCCACCCCATAGCATATTATGGATCAGCATCCTTAAATCAGAGAAATCATTCGGCATTTGGTTTTTTGGGATTGGCTAATTTCACTTAGCATTATATTCTCTAACTCCATCCATTTACCTGCAAATGCTGAAAAATATTCCGTTGTGTATATACAGCACATTTTTTAATCCATTTATCTATTGAAGGGCATGTAGGTTGGTTCCACGGTTTAGCTGTTGTGAATTGTGCTGCTATAAACATTGATGTGGCTGTGTCTCTGAAATATTATGATTTATGATTTATTTCAATGTGCAAGGGCAATTTTTTTAATATTTATCTTTTAGTTGTAGTTGGACCCAAAGGTATTGTACCTTTATTTTTTATGTATTTTTTTGTGGTGCTGAGGATCAAACCCAGGGCCTCACACTTGCTAGGCAAGTGCTCTACCGCTGAGCCACAACCCCAATCCCAGCACAGACAGTTTTTAAAAACCAACTATTCTTAGAGCTTTTACTATTTGATTTTGACAGCACCACAGGGCATAAATAAACTTCAGGGCCGAGCAGTGGGCTGTAGGCATCAGTATCCTTCCTCATCATCCCACAGTAGCTGGCTAGCCAGGGCTGTTCCCCATGCACCCTGGCCTATCTTCAACACAATGTCCTCCAAGGGCCAGAGTTGAGAGTACAACCCAGAGCACCCCTGTGTGAGAACCATTCCTCTGCACACCATGTTAGAGCCTATCCTAAGATGGTTAAGGGTACACCAAATTTCTGTAAGTAATAAGAAACATCAAAGACATCATCAAAGAACCTTTAGACCCAGGAAGAGAGCTAGAAACTATGATATCACATGAAATGTTATTCTCTTATATTCATTCCCTGGTTGGGAAGGAACAAAGCAAGGAACAGAAAAGGTGAGCCTTGCTCACTCACAAGAGCTATCTCATTATTACGTCATTCCTCTGGGAACATTTTAACTTTTTTTCAACTTTTTCCAAAATGTGTATTGTTCTAGAGCTTTTGAATCAGTTTTTTTTTAGAATTATTTCCATCATTTTTTTTTGGCAGAAGTCTATTTTTGGAAAGAATATCTTTGATTACTTTTAATAATTAGAAAATAATTTTGGAAAAGAGATTGTGGCTTACCCAAGAATAGACAAGGACAGTAACATAAAATATTATGATGTTAGAAAAGTATTATGAGTTTGTTAGGCAGGTTTATGGGGTAACAGCCTTAAATCCTCTTATTTTGCAAATAAGTGATTTGCTCAAAATTACATATGAATTAGGGAGGTAATTAGAAATAACTTAATTCTTCCTTTTCCCAAGATCATTATTCCTTTTTTCCTAAATCATGGGATTGAATTATAGATTTCTGCTTACCATACTGAGTGAGGGGTAAGAATAAAAACAGAAAAAGTTTAAAAAAGGATTGAAAGTTCAAAGCCAGCATCAACAAAAGCAAGGTGCTAAGCAATTCAGTGAGACCCTGGCTCTACATAAAATGCAAAATAGGGCTGGGGATATGGCTCAGTGCCCAAGTGCCCCTCAGTTCAATCCCTGGTACCAATAAAAAAAACAAATCAAATATCCGATTTTGGTTTTAGTCAAAGGTAGTCAAAAAACATAAATACAAAGGTGGCATTTTATTGTTGTCAAAATAACTAATCATAGTTTTTTGCTTTTCTTAAAGCTTTTTTATTTTGAATACTTAAGAGAAATTTGATGATACATTGGCATGAAAGCAAAATATTCCCCTTTCAATTTGTCTTGAAATAAACAAAAGCAATATACACAACAATTATCGTTTGTATGTTTACTATGAACCAGGTATGTTGTTATACCTGAGGATAAAGATATGGCACTTGACTTTATTTAAATGTGTTATGTCCATATGTTGCAAAGTATAATTTTCACAGTGTTTTGAAACAGGTGAATTAGGTATTAAGAACAGAAAATATATATTTGAGATCAATTCTTACTTTGTAACACTGACAATTAAGGTATAAGTTAATTAATGACTGTAGAGAAATAATCAATGTTTAGTTTAAAAGGGTTTTCAAATAAAGACTATTTTAGGCTTTAAAATTATTATTGTTTACATTTTAAAAATTAAATAAGTATGCTATTTAAAATAATATGATTTTTCTTCTGGTTTTTAGATTGCATTGGTTTTGAAATATCCCAACCAACAAAAAGTATTAATTGATTTTTAAATATTTTCCATGATTTTAAGAATGTTCAGTAAATTATAAATCAGCTATTTTTAATAGCATAGCTTTGTGGAGGATGTAGCATATACCTCAATTGTATTCACTTGTGATTTATTACATACACATGATTAAATTAAATGCATAATAAGCTCTTTTATGTTAATATAAAGGGAACAAATTAGTGATCTAAATAGGAGAAATAGAGGAAGCAATACAAATATCCTGGATTTATCAGGGCCTATTTTTTTGGTACAGGGGATTGAACTCAGGGACACTAAACCACTGAACCACATCCCCAGCCCTATTTTGTATTTTATTTAGAGACAGAGTCTCATTGAGTTGCTTAGCACTTCTCTCTTTGCTGAGGCTGGCTTTGAACTCTTGATCCTCCTATCTCAGCCTCCCCAGCCACTGGGATTACAGGTGTGTGCCACTGTGCCTGGCACAACCAGGGCCATTTTTGAATACTTTGCTTCTTCTCCTTAATTATGTTAAATCTCCTTTGTGTAATTAAATTCAAATGGTTGTACCAGAATAGTTCAATTTCCCCCAATACTTATGTTTCTTTGGTAATATCTCCACGTCTTAGTGGGATGTATATGTGAAAGTGTGGCCCAAGATCTATTAAAGGAATTAAAATTTTATGCTTTTAATCATTTCCTCATCTCATAGGATTTAGTGATAAAAGGGCTTCAGCTTACTCTCAATTTCTTACACTCTGTTGTGATTATCTGTGTTTTGCACATTGTTTGACTGATTAATTGGTGCCTAGGATTGAGCCCGGGGTCTCATGAATGCTACAAGCTCTATCACTGAACTATACCTGCACTTTCTGCTCTGAGCAGTTAAAATATCAAAATATACATATCATTTATAATAAAAAAATGCTGTGTTGTTCTGAAAACTATTATCTTGTTATTGAAAGCTTATCAGAGTGAAAAAGAATCCTTATCTTGTTTAGAATTGTAGACATGTTATTCATTAAAGATGACTTGGACAAATTCATTCCATAGTCCTTGAAGGTTGACCACAGGATTGTACTGGAGGGTTAGGGGTCAAACTCATAGACTCTGGTGTGTACGAGTACTTGAGTTCAGTCCCAGCTCTGTAGCAGCTTGTGACCTTTTTTTACCTTGGGCAAATGACGCATTTTCTTCTCTGCTTGGTTTCCTCTTCTGCAAATGGTAATAAAAATACTATCTCCCGCATACGGTTGTCCTATAGTCATGAGTGGTACATTGTGAGCACCCTGTAAGGCTGCATTAGGTGTAAGTTACTACAAGCTATGTACTAGAAAACATTCTACAGAAATTAAATTCGAAAGATGGGATTATATATTGATATTAAAACTAGCTTGAAATACCCAGTGGTATTTTCCCCAGTTCCTCTTTCTTTGTGAGATTACACTGCTGCAGACAAGAGTGAAACTGAACTTTGCCCTGTGAATTGAGGTTGACAGGGCCAGCAGATCCATGAGCCCTGGACACAAAAGGTAATTTAGAGGAATGGAAATACATATGGCCAATTAACAATGAAAAGTTTTCAACCTTACTAGTATTCAAAGAATTGCAAATTAAAATAAGGACACGATATGGTTCACTTACAAATGAACAAAGATTGCAAAACAAAAGCTAAAAAAAGCGGGGGGTGGGGGGTGGTGGGGGGGTGGGGGGTGTCAGAAGTACATTGTTACACATTGCTGATAGTGTATAAGGAAATTAGTCAAATTTTCTGAAAGCAATTTAGCAATATTCAGAGAAAAGATATAAATGCTTAAGACCTTCGAGTTGCTAACACTTTTTAGGGAGCTTTGGTAAGGAAAGAAAGAGAAATATTCATGGAATGATATTGATAATGATACAATTTTTAAATTAAAATTTTTGACAATAGGAAATTACTTCAGTAAATTGGAATGCAATCACATGGTGGATCTCCTAACTATTAGAGGGGAATTGATAAGTAGTTTATAATGACTCATAAACTGGGAGCCTTGCTTAATCGTTACTGATTACCTTCCCTCCAGGTGCCAAGAAGTCCAAGGGTGTGGCATCCTGACCTCAGACTCATGCTGCCCCTCCTGTGAGTGGTAAATTTGGGATGGACAGTGGATGCGATTTGTTCTATCCTTTCTCCTATAGGAATCGATTGCTTACAGGGTGCTTCTGTTGTCTGCTTCTCGTTGGTGATAGAATCTTTCTCCAGAGCATGTTCTTTCTTCCCTGCTCCATCTAGCCCTGCCCAATACAGGGTTCTAAGTCCATCTCTGTTTAAGGTTTAGTCAGGACAATTATTTGGCTATTGCTGTATCTCATTCTCTGGCTTAACTTTTTATCAATAAAGGCAGTCTATTGGTTTCCCATCTCCCAGTCCTATTTTATATTTCTTTTAAAAATCAATTGGTGAGGGGCTGGGATCATGGCTCAGCAGTAGAGTGCTTGTCTAGCACGGGCGGGACCCGGGTTCGATCCTCAGCACCACATAAAAATAAAGGCATTGTGTTGTGTTCATCTACACTTAAAAAAATAAATATTAAAAAAATTGGTAAAAAAGAAAAGGGTTATCTTTGTAAAGACTCTCTACACACTCCAACATTTGAGACTGCCCATAAATAAAAACTGCATAACAACTTACCTCAAAATGTGAAAGTCATTTTACATGAACACACATCTATGATCTCACAGTTTTTGTGGGCCAGGAATCCAGGCATCACGTGTTATACTCTCAAGGTTGTTCACAGGTTGCAAGCACAGCTGGGCTTACCTGTGTTCTCAGCTGAAGGCTCCACAGGTGGAGAATTCATTTCCATGTTCTCCCATACTGTTGTTGGCAGAAGAGAGTTTTTGCTGCTTGTTAGCCCAAGGCCTCCCTCAGCTCCTGCCATGTAGGTGTTTTCATAGGGCAGCTCACATGCCAACTGACTTCCCCATGAGTGAGTAGTCAGGAGCGCAGGAGATGGTGTGCAGGACAGAAGCCATAGTTGCTTAGTCACCAAATCTCAGAAGTGACATTCCCATTTCTTTTGCTCTTTTCTGTCTGCTAGCAGTCAGTGACTAGGTCAAGCCCCCACTCAGGGAGGAGTTGAGGAGTAGAAGATACAAGCTCTCAGTATGTAGCAACATGGGTGTTATTAAAGCTAGGGACAGCCATTGCAGCTTGGAATGTGTTGAAAAATTAATAGGAAAAGAGGAAACAGAGACAATGTTTATAAAATAAATTAAGAGGTATTTGGCCATAAAGAAGGAAAAGCATAGGTTTGTAAATTGAAGAGAAAATGGAAATAAAGAAAGTTGTTTTTTTTGGGTAAATATTGGAGAAATTATAATTATTGAAATGATGAAGACTTTGATCTTGTGGAGAGGAAGGAGGTTGGCTGAGGGTGGGGGGGCATTAGTAAAATGGTGGCTGGTTGCTGAAAAGGAGGTGAGGGAAAGAATCTGGAGTAATCCAGAAGAGAATGGGTTTCCATTGAAAACCTTATTCCTATGGTCCCTTCTTTTTCTTTCAAGAAAGCAAAGGGAAACTTCAAACTGTTTTAAAATGTCGGTGCTAACATTTTGGAAGCCATAAAGTACAAATATTTTTCTCACAGATGTTGTTCTTCATCTCATTGTTAAAGTGCTTTTATGTGAATTTATCAATTTTATTCCCAAGACAACTTGGTGAGATTGTCAGGACAAATGCCAATCAATTCATGTGACTTATATGTAGCAATATGATGTCAATCTTGCTGTTTATAAAGTGTCAAAGAGACCCAGATTAAAAAAAAAACAAAAACAAAACTACGAATTCCTAATCTCTTAAAGTCCATATTTTGAAAGCACAACTTGAAGATAGAAAACATCAAAGATAAGGTTTGGCTCCTTTTCATCTTGAGGTCCAGTTGAACATTTTCTTTGCTCTCATCTAGAGGCAGTTATTTTAGTGTGCTTGTGAATTGAACATGCGCTGAAGGGCTCTGTAAATAACTGCCTTCTCAGTATGGTTCGCCTAACCAGTCCTTGAGGACAGAAGCTTCCAGATGGCTCAGGCTCTGGATTAAACCCTCAAGACACCTTGAGCCTCTTTTTCAATAATGTGAGCAACAGAATTCAAGATAGCCTGAGTGATTTGATGAGAGTGTTTTTTTCACAATATTTTTGAATAGGAACATTCTATAAAAAAACAGAGCTATGTGGAGATAAGTAATGACATGATACCAATTATGCTCAAAAGCCTACAAAAGACAGCTTCAGGGTGGGTTTAATAAAATAAGGTGACATATTAAAACTTACTGAGCACTTTCTATTTCCTATTTCAACAGTTTAAAATGACCTCACCTCAGTATTTTTATAATTATCCAATTTTAAATCCATAGTTGAGAGAATAATTTAGTTTTTTGTCAAACAAATACCATTGCCTCTCCAGTCTAGAAGTTTCTTGAGGACCAACACACTTGGGGAGTTGTCAAATGCCTATGATTGAGCATAGTGCCAGATATACTCGGCATTTGAATCCAGTTCTATCTTTGGGCCTGGGCCATTGTTTCGGATTTCTTAATTCTGTGTCCCTTTAAGATGAAGTAATAATATCCACTTTGCAAGGCAATGTAAAATTAGTTAATATTCATACAGCACCATTATGAAATGATTATTTCATTTGAAAATTATTTCACTTTAAACTAATTGTTCTCAACCAGGATAAGGGACATTCGGCAAATCCTGGAAACATTTTTAATTTTCACAAATGGCTACCTGGTGAGGGGGGTATCTGCTACAGCATTAAATAAATGCCTGGGAGCTGCTAAAATGCCTATAGTGCACAGGATAGCCCCTGCAACAAATTACCACTTCCAAAATGTTAACAGTGTGGAGATGAAGATACCCTGCTTTAAAACTATTCTCAGTTCCTTTTATACCCTTCCCTCCTCCCTCCCTCCCTCCTTCCCTCTTCACAGTGATGCTGTCTTATTTCACAAAGCATCCCCACCACCTGCTAGTGTAACAGGTTAAGCGTGATTGGCAATGGAATATAAGAACATAAAACTGCAGGTAATCCCTTCAAATTTTGAACTGAGGTAGTAAAATCAGCCATCTCTATGGGTGGAGTAATTGCCAAACCCCAATTTTCTAAAATGATGACATAGAAAATATTCTGAAAAGGTTTTGAAATAAGTGAATTATCTGTAGGAATTAAATTTATTTTCAGATATCTTGGACTGGGTAAGAAACAGAAGTAGCAGAAATAATGAGATTCAGTTTATTTCTTCTTTCTGTGCAGGTTGTAGGGCTGGGATTTACCTCTGAATGCAGCTACAGTGTTACACTTTCCAAACAAGCAAATGAAAATATGTGCTCAAACAACTTTAAAGTGCTTGAAAAATCTGTCTCATTTGACTCCAAGTCATATAAGGAGTTCAGCTATGGCTTGTGAGCTCGAGGACAGGTCACTGTAGCAGATATGTTTGAATCTTGCCTTTGAAAGAGTTGGCTTTTAATCATCTTGCAGTGAATTTGTAGTCATTCTTTAAATTTTTCTGATCTAGTCTAAGAATTGCATGATTTTTTTTTTCTTTTTCCTTCTTTCTTTTTAAAACAGAAGGCAACTGTTACTTCTGGGGGTTGGAATCTATTGCAATCAAGGCTCATTCAGTATTATTCCTACCCCCATCCCCACCCCGTGGATTCTTTCTTCTTCTCTAACTAAATACCCTACAAGGAAATGCCTGGTGCTTTAAACCACATCGAGGTTTTACCTGTTAACCAAATCTGATAGTGGTTTGATTAATTCCACCAAACACTCTCTAGAATGAATATATTTGTCACAATTACTCCTAGTGACTGGTCAAAGCAGTAGCTTAATTAGCCAGTGCATATAGAGGAATAAATGAAATGCAAGTCTTGAAATTTGTACTGTGTATCCTGTTTTCACACTTATAATTAATTGCTTGCAAATATAAGTAATAGAAAACAGGCTCAACAAAACATTGAGTTAAGCCTTGGTAACTGAAACAATTTTAAGAACAAGAGGATGGTTTTCTCCAGATTGACTTGGCCTATTGGTTTTTACCTGTTAAAATGGGGTGCGTCCATGTTCTATGATAATTGCCTACCTCAGGTAACTAACTACCTAATTAGAATATGAATTTACAGAAGTTGGAACTGTGACTTCATTCTATATTTTCAGATTGGAGTATATATCCCTTCATCATAGACACTCAAAATGTTTGCTCAATATAAATGATATAGCTGCTTTCCAATATAAGCTGCTTTTTGGTTTGCTCCCTTTCACCAATTCCTAAACTACTATTCTAACACCTGCTTTACACCAGATGTAGGACAGACCCCTGGGAATAAGTGAATGACAACCAGTCCTTGGTCTTAAGGGACTTGCAGCCTTATAAGAAGAATAAAGGAAAATATATAAACAATTCAATAATATGTGACAAACTACTGCAGAGTACTGCAGGGGCTCACAGTCGAGGGATTTACTGTGTGCTTTGGAGGTGAAGAAGCATCTCAGAAGAAGTTGACATCTCCATGGATCTGCTAGGTTTATGCGGATTTGCTAAGACAAGACAGTAGAGGAAAAGGGCAGGAGGAATTGTTTGCTTTAGAGAGTTGAGATGCCTATAATTTACTTTGCAAAACCTCACTGCATACAGTATAATATTGTATATATTGGATTGAAATAGTCAGTTGCTCTCACCAGGAACACACCCCTAAGAAGCATTCAGCAAGTGTACAAAAGGAAGTTAAGTCTGCAGAAGCAGCTCCTCCTAGTGTTTCAGCTTTTATATTTTGCATCAATATCAGAAAAGCCTATTATTAGCAGAATTAATCTTAGAAATGAGTGCTCCTTGAACTAATATCTTAGTTTATTTGGATGCTATAACAAAATACCATAGGCTGGGTAGCTTACAAACAAAAGAAATTTGTTCCTCACTGTCTGGAGGCTGGAAAGTCCAATATCAATGGGCTGACAGATTTGGTGTCTGGTGAGGGTCCACTAGAGGTGGTGCTTTCTCATTATGTCCTCCTGTGATGTTAGGGTCAAGGCAGTACTCTTGATTAGTTGCTCATTCTTGTATATGAAGAGGAGAT